CGCGAGAGCGTGTGTGTGAAATGCATGGACTGATGGATGGATAGATAGATGGATGGACGGATAGATGGACGAACGAACGGACGGACAAAGAATGGATGGATAGGTAAATTGATGTATGGGTGGGTGGATGGGTGGATGGGTGGATGAATGGAGGGAGGGATGGATGGATGGATGGATGGATGGATGGATGGATGGATGGATGGATGGATGGATGGATGGATGGATGAAGGACGGACGGACGGCGAAACGGACGGACTGACGGACGGACGGACGCGCGACGAAGGCACGGACGGACCGACGGACGACGGCGAACGGACGACCGGACGAACGGGACGGGACGGACGGACGGACGGACGACGGACTGACGTGATGGTTGGATTTGAATGGCATGGACTGGATGGATGGATGGATGGATGGAATGGACTGGATTGGATGGATTGATGGATGGATCGGATGGATAGGATGGATGGCTGGAATGGATGGTGGATGATGATGGATGGATGGATGGAGTGGATGGATGGATGATGGATGGATGGATGGATGGATGATAGATAAATAGATAGATTGATAAAGCGCAAGAACGAAAACGACAAAGATAGAGAGCAGAGAGAGAGAGAGAGGGAGAGAGAGAGAGAGAGAAAGAGAGAGAGAGAGAGAGCGAGAGAGAGAGGAGGAGAGAGAGAGAGAGAAGAGAGAAAGATGAAGAGATGAGAGAAAGAGAGAGAGACGAGAGAGAGCAGAATGAGAGATAGATAGAGAAAAGAGAGCAGAGAGGAGAGAGCAGAGAGAGAGAGAGAGAGAGAGAGAGAGAGAGAGAGAGAGAGAGAGAGAGAGAGAGAGAGAGAGAATGGGGGCGAGGAAAGCCTGACGCACCTGCTAACCAAGAGAGTTTGAATGAAGTTTGCACACCTCTGGTAGAAACAAAACAAAGGTGCCCTACTGGTAGAAACAAAACACAGGTGCCATATTTGTGTTGCAAACTACGCCGACTACACCAAACCGTGTTTACAGCAAACATTGCAGAGGCCTCAAAAGAGATACACAATGACCTCTCTCTCCTTCTCTCGCTCTCTCTTTCGTCTCTCTCACTCTCTCCCTCTTTCTTTCTCTACAACATCCTACACAACAAGTGTGTCAACAACCAGATGGTCGGGAACTGAAGATGCCGCGGTTTCCTTACGATGTTTTCACAGTGGAGCTACACGATAGTGATAGGAGTGCACATCCGCAGGCTGTTCCCTCATGCGGTCTGCACCCCCGTCAGCCGCAACGAGCGTAAACAAACATCGCTTGCCACGCCGACAATAGCTTCAAAGCACTTCCCGCCCAGCGCGCTTAATCAAACAGTGATTTAATTGGGCCTTACTTGCCAACAATAATCAAGCAACAAACGTACAAGACGTTATCACGACGGAGCTGTCAAAATTCAGCGGGAACGAAGATTTCGCAAAATTATATTTATTAATCCGTTTTGCGAAGTCGCAGCAAGTGAAAGCTCTGCATTCCTGCGTAAAAGACGGCTTTGGAAACCCTATGTCCGTGCAGGGCCGTAGGCTGAGCAAATTCCTAGGGGGAGGGCAAAATTTCATGAACCAATTGTGTAATGATGAGCGACGGACGCTGCTCTTGAGCGACGTCCATAGTGTGGTAAGGGTGGGTCTGAGACAATGCTTTCACGGATAAGTGACCAAAAAATCACGTTATAGGGTTATTTATGATTATTCGCTAAGCTTATTTTTTAATTTTGCTCCAAAATTAGGGGGCAACTGCCCCCTTGTCTCCCATCCCCCCCCCACACAGGCTACGGCTCTGCCGTGTAAGCGTGTCTGACAACTGAGCCACTATTTCGCATTTTTACTTTGATCGTTTTGGACGCGAAAACAAGATGCTCCTTTACTCCGCGAAAAAAATCCGCAATGGTTCGGATTACAAGCTATGAAAGAAATTCCACGCGGCGTGCACACAAATTCTCGGCTTAAACTTATACAGAGAGAGAGAGAGAGAGAGAGAGAGAGAGAGAGAGAGAGAGAGAGAGAGAGAGAGAGAGAGAGAGAGAGAGCGAGCGAGAGACGAGAAAGAAAGAGGAAGAGGGAGAGAGAGAGCGCGCACGCAGAAAGGTAATGTTGGCCGCACGCAAGCGCGCATTAGCTTTTTATACTTGCTAGACGAGTTTTTCAGAGCGCTATCCCTCTGAATAAGAGTAGAGCTTTCACGAAAGAGATTATCAACAACAACATGGCGCGCCCTTCACATCACAATGACACAGATCCCATGAAAACGCTGTCACGTTCACTTAACGATGTAAAACCGAAATTAATCGTAGCGGGATTATACCGAAACCGGGGGAAACCTCCCTCCCTTCTTCCTTCCTCCTTCCTCCTCCCGCGTTAACCAACGGTGGATGAATGTTGAAGCGTTGCATCTCTGATGCTTTCGACGTGCGGTTTGCTGGGGATCTCCGGATTGCACACTCTGTACTCCGCATCCCGCCGCTCAGACACGCCAGCAGCAACCAGGGCGCGATGGCTACTGTCTTCTCCGCAGCACGACGACGACGATGAAGATAATTCCTATATCACTGTCGTAAACGCTCCATTATGCGAACGCGCCAGGGAAAAAAACCCGCATCGAAGAAGATTTTTTCCTTAATTCAAAGACGCCCTTTTATGAAACGCTTTCAGACGCGGAGACAAAGAGCTCATGCATGAGCGGCTAACGAGATTGCGCCCCCCGTTATAAAATTTGACAATTAATGAATTTGCGCCATTGTGCTTGCAGCGGACGTGCGAACTGGCAACGTTGTCTCGGTAGCCCCAGCATCCCTTCGCTAATCCAATCGATGAGTAAGATTGAGAGAGAGTGAGGGGAGGGAAAGAAAGAGAGAGAGGATGAAAGCGACGGGGAGGGAAACAACATGGCTACCCTTGTTCAGTGGGGATCTGGGCTGGCTAGGGTTAATCACCCGGGCAACCGGGGCATTGTGTGGAAAGCTGACGAACCTGCCAGCTTCCATGTCTGATCAATATTCATCGAGCGCTGTGTGCGCGTGCGCGTGCTTGCATGTACGGATACGTGCGTGAGTACGGGCTGCATCGTCGTGTGCGTGTGCGTGTGCATGTGCGTGTGCGTGTGCGTGCGTGTGCGTGCTCATGTGCGTGTGCGTGCGCGTGCGCGTGTGCGTGTGCATGTACGTGCGCGTGTGCGTGTGCGTGTGCACATGCATGTGCGTGTGCGTGTGAGCGTGTGTGTGTGCATGTACCGGTCGCAGTGGTTGCACAAATTTCAACCGGCATTTATCAGAATTCTGCATACCATCATAATTATCATGACAGGGTGAACAGGCGCGTATCAGACCCAACAACCTCCACGATTTAATTTGCCAATATAATTAAGAGTTCGTGCATGTATGAAAAATTAACTACGCCCGCGACCCGGCTGCTGTCTGCGTGACGTCACTCGTGACCATTGTTTCGACGGACGTAATACAATGGGGGCCACGGGAAGAGTGGCAGACGTGACAACGTGTAGGGCGCAATGATCGTACACATACACGTCTCATGCGTAGCGACCTACATGTAACAATAGATATAAAATAGCTATCTTCTATTCTATATCTATATCTATTTCTATATATACTGCATGCCGTCATTAGAAAATCACACCGCTTAGATAATCGCGGCACGAGATACACGATGCATGCGTTCCACGCTGCAGGCGTGAAGCAAAGGTAACGTATTAAACTGTGTACGTCACGAATTTCTAGCACTAGCAAGTAGTATATTTGTGTGTCATTTATACAAAATAAAATGTATGAAAATACAATTAGTGTTTCTGTTTACTTTTCATGCTTATATATCTTCTTTATACTCCCTAATTTGCCGGTGCATTCGATGTAACCAAACGCTCGACACAAATACAACTGCCATTAATTCGAAACTCTTGCGTGGCGCCCAGACGCAGCTAGCCGATATAGCGAACATCTGCGGTAAACGAGGCATTGGCAAAATAATTGTGGCAGCCATGGAAATGCCTTGTAAACTTAAGCGGGAGTTTCTAATATAAACTTCTTTCTGCATTTTTCTCCTTCGTTTTCTTTCCGATGCACTGAATTGAACTGGTCTGCCCACCATTGTTTATCGTTTAGTTGATCTAGCGTGAAGGGGGATGTCGCAAACATTTTTGTTGGCAGAAATTAAAAAAACACAAATGGCATTTCGTAGTTTTATTTATAATTTTTCCAAACATAATACACATGAACATATATGATTCATTTTTCCTATATTCTATATTCTATATAGCTAACACAAATCAAAACAGAAACTGTTTGGGCACCACTTTGTGCACCATACAAAAATCACGATGACATCGACCACAGCAACCAGTGCAGCAACCGAGAGACGCCAGTATCTGTACAGTACTGGGTAAATAGTGTTAATAACACTAATTCAAATCGTCAGGATTTTTACAAATTTAACCAACGTAAAAACATTTTTATCAGGTGAGAGTTTGAGGATATATTTAGTAACGTTAGTACCAACTTTTGATGTAAAAAAAATTACAAAAATAAGGTATCAACTATAAATTTCAGGAGACTCGTGAAGTCCCTATACCGAGACCGGAAATGACCAGACACGAAGTCGAGAAACATGTACTCGAGGAAGTTCTAAACGTTGCGCAACGTTGTAAAACTCCGCGTTTTATATACATGCCGAAGCAGAGATGAATTACAGAGATCCGACAAATCCGTCACGCGTGAGGGGCGTGTGGGCGACATGTAAAAATCTAACAGGATCCAATCTGCGTGCCGCAGTGTACGGTGCAGCTACCTGGCGGCCGCACGGCGCACTACACGCGCAGGTATATCGCTCGGCGAGCGAACAGCGGCAATTTTCCGCACCGCCGCCCCGCGCCGCCCCTGACGCGATCGCATCTGACAGGCGGCGAGTTTGCCGCCGCGTTCCCTCCCGCACGAGCCGCCGCGGCGGACAAACGCACCGTTGTTACGGCAGCCAAAAAGAAAACGCGCGATGCGGAATAGGAAAAAAACGCGGGTAATGCAAGCTAATGCGCAGTGATGGCAGGAGATGGCAGACGATTAGAGCACGCGGGTGAGGAAGAGAGCCTGGTTTTATTCCCTTGAGGTTTTCCCTGTTCTTCCCCCACGTCGCTGAAAGACACGGGGAACGGCAGAAATACTCCAGATTTTCGTTGTTGTTTTTGCAGATAATCCTGGTAACTAACAATACACTTTCAACAATACAGTGTGTATTGTTGAACACCTTCTAACAATACACTGTGTATTGTTGAACACCTTCTAACAATACACTGTGTATTGTAGTAGGTACCTAACAACTGTGTATTTAAATTCAATTACATTTTTAATAAATTCAATAAAATCTATAAAATAATTTAAATAAATTCATTTAAATAAATGTCAATTTAAAGTTTACAAATCAAAAAGTAAACTAATTAAAAAAAGAAGAAGAAGTGTATTGTTAGAAGGTGTTCAACAATAAACAGTGTATTCTTGAAAGCTAATAGGTACCTACTACAATACACAGTGTATTGCTGAAAGCTCATAGGTACCTACTACAATACACAGTGTATTGTCAAATGCCTAAACATACAACACACTGTGTATTGTTAGTTACCAGAATTATCTGCAGAGGTTTTCCCGCCCCTGTAGAGGGAAGCAGAAGGCTATATGAGGGCCCGTGATTGTATAACAGTAGGACAATCGGAAGTGGGGGAGAGGTAGAAGCAATCGCGAAGCTCGTTCATGCTATAATACAGTGATTGACGTTATATTAACTTGTTGGTGAGTATTTTTCAATAAAGGCGCTAAGACAGAACATTTCGAAAATTAAACAACTGGCGCGCACGCCAAATCAAAGCCTTCAAATATTATTTTGATGCATCACAAAGAAGAGGCAGCTGCATTTAAAGAAGGGAAGAGGAGGACGAAAGAAGGAGCGCGCCAGACAGACAGCAAGAAAGGGGGAGAGAAAGTAAGAGATAGGAAAAAAGCCAAGAAGTAACGGAGAGGGGATGAAAGGCAGAAAGATGGACAGAGAGAGAGAGAGAGAAAGAGAGAGAGAGAGAGAGAGAGAGAGAGAGAGAGAGAGAGAGAGAGAGAGAGAGAGAGAAAGAGAGGATGGGTGACCAACCAAGAGGCAGTCCGTCGCTGACTAACTCGACGCACGCGGGCTCTGTGGAAAACATTGTCACGACATATAACCCGTTAAATTCCATTAGACCGCGAGGGCTTTACAGGAAATCGGAGCAAATCTACGACGAATCTTAATTAACATCGTGGCCCTGAGACGTGCTATCAATTACGGGATGTGCTGTCGTCGTTATGGTACAACGAACGAGCGAGCGATCGAGGGAAAGAGAGAAAGAGGGGGTGCATACACGCGCGCGCACGCACACCTCCCGCGAGAGATGTCCTGCGCCGGCCAGCCATGCCACGGCAAGCCGACATGGACCAGCAGAAATCTGCGCAGGTTCGACCACTACGTTAGAAAGTATATATATATACCCTAACCCTAACCCTAACCCTAACAGCACTGCCTTTTTACAAGTGCACCTATCGAGTGCGCCGAGCACAATAGCTAAATTGGTGAAATCACCGGGCACTTTCAAGAGCGACCAACCTTACGTTCACCGATACCGCCCGTTAAGCATTTAAAGATAAACGCTCGAGCGTGAACGTATCGCTGCTCCAGCTTGTGCGTTTTAAAGCGCGGCTGTCGAGAACGTTTCGAGTCAATGTTTTCTTATTCTGAGAAATAGTCATGTAGCATTTAGTTTTCTTCGTTACCGATACGTGGTAAGCGGTTAAGACACAACTAATTTTCGATATATAGCAAAATAGCAACTTAACAAGACTAACACGAAAAACCTTTTTCCATAATTCTGTGCAATTAATGTCGAGCCCACGTAGAATTGAACAGGAATGGCATACCGCTACTTATTACTGATAAAAAAATTAAACAAAAAAACTCATTGCAATAATACCGTGCATAAATTTCGAAACCGGACAGAAATTAATACGAATAACAAACCATTAATTAATATTAGTGAATTCAACACGGAAAACTCTTTTACAATAATACCATGCATAACTGCGAAACTCACGGAGAATTGAACACAAAAATCAACTCGAGATTAAAATTATTAACTTTTCAATTCACTGGGACGCAAACCCCGTTCAGACATTGCGTAAATCTATGACGTCACTCGTGACTGAAACAATTGCGCTCGGTCAAGCGCCATGTTGGCTAACTGGTTCATGAAACGCCAACAAAACGTATGAACGGTATTAAATTGAATCTAAATCCGAGAGCATGTACCGTGTAACGCACGCTGCAAGCTCCGTTGGTCTTCCAGTAAATTTCGCCGCGGTTGCAGTTAAGTTTTTGCGAGTCAGTGACTCCGGATCATTAGTTTGGACAACTGGAGCATACGTTCGCGATGTTGCGACGCCAGTAGTAACCGTATGAACGCAACGAGAATGAGAGAGATGTGCGTGCGTGCGTGCGTGCGTGCGGGCGAGCAAAAAGGCGAGCGTGCATGCGTGCGTGCGTGCGTGTAAGAGTGCGTGCGTGCGTGGTGCGAGCGAGCGAAAAGGCGAGCGTGCATGCGTGCGTGCGTGCGTGCGTGAGTGCGTGTAAGCGTGCGTGCGGGCGTGCGTGTAAGAGTGCGTGCGTGCGTGCGTGCGTGTAGAAGTGCAAATATGAGCTTCCTACCTGCGACGGTAGCGTTCAGGCAGATCCAATAGTCTTCCTAGAAAAATACAAGCAGAGCAAGAATTAGGAACAGAGGCCACTGATAAATGATCATCAGTCTTCCATCTATATGTTATTTTTATAACAAATGCAGCTCGCAATCTTGTTCTACGCAATAAACATATATATAGATATATATACGTCCCGCAAGTATAAATCCGCTTAATTTAGTCGTCTGATGAAGCGAACTCGTAGAACGTCAGCGAGGGCGGGTACCGGCTATGGGCGTGGTCTTACGATCGCTGCGACGTACAAAGGGGCGTGGATGCCTCAAGAGTGAGTGCGGCTCGCAGGTTGATCGTGGCGCTTGCGGTGGGAGACTTGCTCGTAGTAGAACGACGCGCAGCGGACGACTACGATACCTTCGCTGGAAAGTAATACCATGTACTTCTGCGGGAAGGGTTAGAGCACCGAGACCATTTCGGATGGGAGGCGATGTTAGATGGCGCGGATGATTGTGGTGGTCAGGCGGCGATGCGTGCGCGCGGTGGGGCTTTTTTGGTATAATAAATGATGGGTGGCACGTTAAATAATGAGGCATAAGAATGGATGATTGAATTTGGGCGTCAATCAGACTGGAGCGATGGTACTGGCGTGATGTTAGGAAAGAACCAGGGTGAATGCAAGGCGGAGATGTACTGGCTCTCTTCTCTCTCGGGGAATTGACTGGTTTCTGACATCCATCCTCCGTCGTCTCTCGTCTCTCTCTCTCATCTTTTTTTTCTCAGCCTCTCTCTTCTCTCATCGTCCTTTTCTCTCGTCCTCGATTATATTCGTCGGCCATCGGTTTGTGGTCATGATAATATGACAATGAGTATAAGAGGTTTTGACGTGATGGTAGATATCATGAGCAATGTGAACAATCCACGGCTTTCCTGAAACGATCTTCTCCTTTTTCTCGTCTTTTCTTCTCATCTCGCTGAACTGTCTCTTCGTCCACTCTTTGTCTCAAGTATCAAAGTCTCTCTCGTTTGCTTCATGGTCGAGGCGTCCGGTCAGGGTTAGGGCGCGCTCCGTCCGTCTCTCTCTCTTTTCTCTTCAGCAGACAGTGGTCTCTTTCTGTCTTCTCTCTGCGTCTCGGTCGGTCTGTCTTTCATCGTGCGCCTCTCTCTCTCCTCGTCTCGGTGTATAGAGCGGTGCGGGGTCATCTACGTCTTCTCTCGCATCTCGTTTCTCTCGCTGACTGTCCTCTCTCTCTCTCGGTTTCGTCAATCTGAGTCTTTCTCTTATCTCTGTCTCCCCCCAAGCGGCGTGACCCCAGTCTTTCTCACTTCTCCTCCAATCGAGGCCAAGTCCCATGACTCCTCTCTCTCTCGTGGGCTCTCCCCCACCTGTGCGTCTGTCTACTTCTGCCTTATCTCCTCTCTGCTCTCTCCCGCTCTCGTGCGCCTCTGGAGATCGCACGAAAAGCGATGAACAAAGAATTTATGCGTTTGTTTTAAATAGTATAGGCGACGAGGAAATGGAAAACCGTGTCGATCCTGAGATTTATGAGCGGTACGTATGATGTGGTCTTGGCGCGGCGTGATATGTTAGATCGCTGGAAGTATTTTGTAGCGGGCTGGGTAACTTTGATATGAACGACCCTGGAACGGCCTAACCCCAAACCATGGTCCTCAGTTCAGCCTATCGGCTGGCGCACTGGATACCGTATGCTACGCAGTATGTGATAAGCTCGTTACTCTACACAGACTGGAACCCTTAACGTAACACTAACTAAAGCAGGTGAGTGGTCTGGCGGGCGGCGCTGTGAACCGTACGTGCCATAAGCGTTACCCTAACATCGTCCCCGATAACAATAACCATCCTCTTATGCAACTTACACTTCAAGCACTAATCTAATATTAATAGGTAGCCATAATTCCTACTCCCATCGCCACCAACTACCCTATCCCTACCTATCCCCCTAGTGTATATTGTGGTGTCGTGTGGTGGTGTCGTGTTGTGTGGTGTGTGTGTGTGTGTGTGTGTGTGGTGTGCGTCGCGTGCGTGCGTGCGTCATAAGTCGCTTCGTTCGTCGTGGCGTGCCGTGCGTGTGGTGTGCGTGCGGGCTGTAAATGTGCGCAGTATGGTTTGTGCATGCGTTCGCGTGTTCGTGCGATAGCGTGCGTAATCGTGTGTGCGTGCGTGCGTGGCGGGGCGTGAATGTGTGCAGCCATGTTGTGGGCATCTGCGTTGCGCTGTGTTCGTGGCGATGCGTGGCGGGTGCGTGGAGCGTTGTGTGGCGTTTGCGGTAGCGGGCAGAGGGCTATATGCAGCATGCTTGTGCAGCAGATTCGGATGGATTCTCTTGCGCCCTGCCGAGCCGTACGATGGCAGTGGCGTGCGTGGGCGTGCGTGCGTGCGTGGCGTGCGTGCGCGCGCTATGCGGTGTGCCTATATTATCGTGTAGGCCGTTTTACCTCTGGCGCAGGCGATCACAGTAAGCAGTGATTGTTACGGGGGCAGCGGTGAGTCTAAACACCGTCCTCGCGCTTTAAGGCGTGCGCTCCGCGGCTGCAGGCAAGAGCTTTATGTCCTAGAGTGGCGACGATAGGACGAGGTCCGGCGGTGCGGCTTGCAATTCACGAGAGGCCGCGATAGGAGCCGTACAGGAGGCGTTCATTTCGGCGTACCGCCACCGGCCAAGTTTCAAGCACGATCCGCGCATGGGGGTCCGGAGCTGAGTCAGGCCTTATACCGTAGAGCAACGAGATGGGTTGAATGGTGATATACGCTGTGTACGGTACATCGCTGTTACCTGGTAGCCAGTGTATACCACTTATGTAGTATATATATATGTGTAGTGTGTATACTGTAATAGGCTACATCTATAGTATATCGGTAGTATGATAATATATATAAATATATATAGGCTTCAGTGCTGTGGCGTGCATTTGCGCGCGCAGCAGCGCGCGCGGGCGCGTGTCGTGTGGTGTGGTGTGTGTGTGTTGTGTGTGTGTGTGTGTGTGTGTGGTGTGTGTTGTGGTGTGTGTGTGAGTGAGTGTGTGTGTGTGTGTGTGGGGTGTGTGTGTGTGTGTTGGCGTCTGTTGTGCCGGCTGGCGTGCGTGCGTGCGTGCGTGCGTGCGTGGCGTCGTGCGGTCGTGTGTGTGCGTGCGCGTCTGCGTTTGTACCCGTACAGATATGTGTATTTCGTATACCTGTGTGTACCTGTGTGCACATGTATACCTCTATAGCTGCATGGTTGAGCAGGGTAACGTCCTCCTTCCTGCAGTCGCTCTCTTGGTTTGCCCGCAGAACAATGTTTAAGGATATTCTAACAGACGGGAGTAAGACGGAACTGGTTGAATCATACTTGCAGATTGGTGCGATAAGGTTTGCCGTACAATATACGTGGCGCCAAACATACACCACTATGCAGAATTAGCTCCTGTAGCATTGCTATACGAAAACACGACGCTATATCCCCTCTCCTCTCCTCTCTTCCTCGTCCAAATGTTATCATTTAATGTAGTGACTGCTGCAGTGGATTCACTGAAGTGACTATGAATTTCGTGGCTATTAGAAGCCGTAGCTAGTTAGTCAACAAGTGATGTAGCTGGGGGCGGGCTCTGAACTGCTGGCTGTCTGCAATGACAATTACAACCCGATCGTGTTGCGCGGGAGAGACGGATGCGTTCGTTCGTGCAGCGCTACATTTCAGCGAATGAGATCATTCCTCGTGGCGCGGTTTAATCCACAGTTTCCTGTTCATTATGCCGCTTCTCTGACAGCGAACCGCGTGACGGGCTAATTGGCTGTTTGTAAGCGGGTGGGAAACTAGGCTGGCGAGATTCGTCAAGCGTGCCTAACACCTTGCAGGTTGCTGCCTGTTCCCTGTCTCCTCCTCCCTATTATTCGCTCGTCCGCTGGTTTGCTCGCCCACACCACACGCACACGCGCGGCAACGGCACGGGTTAAGGGGCACGCACGGGCACGGAACACGGCACGCCACCGCAACGCGGTTCACGAGGCGGACGTGCGGAACGTCACAGCACGCACACTACCCAACAGCACACAATCTTAGCGCGAGAGCAGGCAACGCACGCAAGCCACCGGCGAGGGAGCCACCGACATAGCGTTAGTTTAGCCGGTGCACGCGCACACGCGCGCCAATAGATACTGGGGTTGGTTAGTCAACGAGCACACACTCCTACAGGGCAACACAGTACACATAAACGATAACAAATCACAGCGACACCACACACGACTCAGGGTAACACAGAGATCCATATAGCATTGGTCTTAATCGACACACACACCGGCACATCGACCCGCCGTTCACACCCACCTACAGCACACAACACAGCACCCAGCGCACCTGTCACCCGAAGCACATCGAGCCTAGCGGCACCAGAAAACCGGATGGACGGCACGGCCCGGCCGCGCCTCCAGCCGTCGCACAGCATAGCCCCCTCTCTTCTCTCTCTTCTCGTCCTGATTCTCTCTCCCTGTGGCGCGACCCACGGGGGAGCGTCCCTGTCACGGATCAAGCGGCCGGCCGCCGCGCGTGGCGGGCCGGAGTTGGTAACTCGCCCACGAAGGTAGCGCGCCTCACCTACGTCGATGTATAATAAATCATCCGCGCAATCTCGGTGTGTGTCGCGTGGCAGTGCGGACCTGAGTGTCCGTTCCTCCCCGAAGGGGACGGACGGTCGCCTCACTCCGCCCTCGCACCCCCACTGGGACACGCACACACGGTTCGCCCGTAGGATACGCAGAGCTCGATCCTCGCGGCAGTCCCCTCGCGAGCGGCGCCGTGGCGCCGCCGCAGGCGGCGCCGGGCGGCCGGCAGCCCCATTACATAGGGGGTAGAAGACACAACCAACACCCCCCAAAGAGCGCAGCCCCGGCCCGGCGCTCCCCACTCCGGCCGCGGCTGGGGGGCTGGACGCAAGCGCTCCGTGTCTGCGGGGAGCCGGGCCCCGCCCCTGCCAGGATCGCCGCCCCCAACAAGACTAGGGACAGCGACCGAGTCGCGCGCGAGGCGCACACGAATCAAGTGAGGAAAGCTGCTCC